CCCTACATCACCCTACACCTCCTTACACCACCCTACACCTCCATACACCTCCCTACACCACCCGACATCACCCTACACCTCCCTACACCACCCAACACCTCCCTACATCACCCTACACCTCCTTACACCTCCCTACACCTCCATACACCTCCATACACCTCCCTACATCACCCTACACCTCCCTAAACCACCCTACACCTCCTTACACCACCCTACACCTCCCTACACCACCCTACACCTCCTTACACCACCCTACACCTCCCTACACCACCCTACACCACCCTACACCTCCTTACACCTCCCTACACCACACTTCACCACACTTCACCACACTACACCTCCCTACACCACCCTACACCACCCTACACCACCCTACACCTCCCTACACCTCCCTAAACCTCCATACCCTACACCACCCTACACCTCCCTACACGTCCCTACACCACCCTACACCTCCCTACACCTCCATACACCTCCATACACCTCCCTACACCTCCCTACACCACCCTACATCTGCCTACATCACCGTACACCACCCTACACCTCCCTACACCTCCTTACACCTCCCTACACCTCCATACACCTCCATACACCTCCCTACTTCTCCCTACACCTCCATACACCTCCCTACTTCTCCCTACACCTCCATACACCTCCCTACTTCTCCCTACACCTCCATACACCTCCCTACTTCTCCCTACACCTCGATACACCTCCCTACATCACCCTACACCTCCCTACACCACCCTACACCTCCCTACACCTCCCTACACCACCATACACCTCCCTACACCTCCCTACACCACCCTACAGCTCCTTACACCTCCCTACACCTCCCTACACCACCCTACACCTCCTTACACCACCCTACACCTCCCTACTTCTCCCTACACCTCCATACACCTCCCTACTTCTCCCTACACCTCCATACACCTCCCTACTTCTCCATACACCTCCATACACCTCCCTACTTCTCCCTACACCTCCATACACCTCCCTACTTCTCCCTACACCTCCATACACCTCCCTACTTCTCCCTACACCTCCATACACCTCCCTACTTCTCCCTGCACCTCCATACACCTCCCTACTTCTCCCTACACCTCCATACACCTCCCTACTTCTCCCTACACCTCCATACACCTCCCTACTTCTCCCTACACCTCCATACACCTCCCTACTTCTCCCTACACCTCCATACACCTCCCTACTTCTCCCTACACCTCCATACACCTCCCTACTTCTCCCTACACCTCCATACACCTCCCTACTTCTCCCTACACCCTATGTATTGTATGCATGGGGGAGATTAATGTACTTTATGCATGGGGGAGATTACTATATTATATGCATGTGGGAGATTAATGTACTGTATGCATGGGGGAGATTAATGAACTGCTTGCATGTGGGAGATTAATGTACTATATGCATGGGGGAGATTAATGTACTGTATGCATGGGGGAGAATAATTAACTTAACTGATGGCCAAAAGAAACGTTACCAACATTAACTGATTTGCCACTTTGAAACAAAGATGCCAACCTGTTCAAAAACAATAAGAACACATCTCACGAATACAGCCTTCATGTTCTCTTTCGTTCTTTGCACGTGCTTTGCGGATTTTGGGAGATATTGGTGTTTTTCAGCAATTTTCTAAAACATTCTTTCCCAAATTTCCGAGTATAAATTAACATGCGGTTGCCATTAACATGAACTGTTCCAAGATGACCATTACCAGACTGGTCGCACGTCTCCGACAGACTGGCAGAACCGCAGACAGACCAGAGTGGCAGACCAAAGGTCACGACCCCGCAGGATGACCGCTTTTTACGGGTGCTTCATCTGAGGAACAGATTTCGTACTGTGACGTCATCAGCTGCAAACAGCTTAGGACATCCTGTCAGCAGACAAACAGTGACCTGACGACTACGACATTATGGTCTCCGGGCTTATCGCCCTTTCAAGAGCATGACCTTGACCCGTCATCTTCGACGTGCCAGATTGACGTGGTGCAGGCAAGCACATCGATGGCAACAAAGGGAATGGCGGCAAGTGCTGTTTAGTGACGAGAGCAGGTTCCAACTCTTCAAACCTGATGGGCGGACGCGAGTTTTATCGACGACGAGGTGACCGTACAGCTCCTTGTTGTGTCCAGGAGGTGGAACCTTACGGGGGCGGAAGTGTGATGGTCTGGGGCGACATTTGCGGGGACGAGAAGACGGAACTTGTCATCATCGTAGGCAATCTGACAACACAATGCTTTATTGACAATATCTTACGGCCAGTGGTTCATCCAGCGTCAACAACGGAAGGGGGTTCCAACAAAATAACGCCACACCCCATAAAGCCCGTATTACTAGAGACTTACTCAACGCCAACAACGTGACTGTTCTGCCGTGGCCAGCTCGATCACCAGATCTGTCACCCATAGAACATCTCTGGGACAAGCTGGGGCGTCGTCTTCGGAAACGTCAATATCCTCCCTTCACGAGACAAGCGTTGATCGTTGCCCTCCGTGAGGAATGGAATCGGATACCTGCAGTCGATGTGAGAACGCTTGTTTACTCAGTTCGACGCCGCATTCGAAGATGCATTGCCGCTCATGGGGGTCATATCCCGTATTGAACGGTCTGGGCCGTCGTCACCTTAAAGTCGTAATCAATGTTGTTGATCGAATACTGGACGAAAGACCCTTTGTCTAGAAATGTCCATGTTGGAGGTCAAGGACTTTGTTGTTGAATTAGTAAATTTGCATTTTACTGTTCTGAATGATGAATTTCTACAATACAATTGTTATTGCTGCTTCAAACTGTGTTGGTCATATTTTATCCTAGAAATATCGTTGGTAACGTTTCTTTTGGCCGTCAGTTTATATGCATGGGGACGATTAATGTTTTATATGCATGGAGTTTAATGTACTATGTAAAAAAAACGAACACCCTGCTAAAGGTATTCATCTCGTAAATGAATGACGTGATCACATCCAATGATGGCGAGATTGGAAAAATCCTGGAACTTGTAGAACTAACTATAAAAAGAAATATTTGACTAACACACTGTTCTGGGGTACTCTAGTTTTACGGAAGCAATAATTAATTTTCCAGTTGTCAGAACAGATAAATAACATCTAATGTACATCTGCCCCTAATAACGTATTTCCTTCTGAGGTTTCATCAGATGTCCGGAAACGTCCGGGAGATTTCATCAGACGTCCGGAAACGTCCGGGAGATTTCATCAGACGTCCGGAAACGTGCGGGGGGTTTCATCTGACGTCCGGAAACGTCCGGGAGATTTCATCAGACGTCCGGAAACGTCCGGGAGGTTTCATCAGACGTCCGGAAACGTCCGGGAGGTTTCATCAGACGTCCAGAAACGTCCGGGGGGTTTCATCAGACGTCCGGAAACGTCCGGGGGGTTTTATCAGACGTCCGGAAACGTCCGGGAGGTGTCATCAGACGTCCGGAAACGTCCGGGGGGTTTCATCAGACGTCCGGAAACGTCCGGGAGGTTTCATCAGACGTCCGGAAGCGTCCGGGAGGTTTATAATACAGTGCAGTCAGTCAATAAAACATGTCTATCTCAATTTGGTAAGATCGTAAGAACTGGTGTACAAATAAATAGAACACACAGCAAAATAAAAACAAAGTAAACTAAGTACGAGCAACAAGGTAAACTATATTTACAGGCCAGGAAGGGTTGTTGTCATCCACCACAGTGGCCGTGATTGTAATTACAGACAGTGTTTGTTTCTTTGTTGTGTAACGCCACAGTCAGCAATATTGCAGGTATATGACGGCGGTCTGTAAATAATCCAGTCTGGACCAGACAATCAAATCAACCTAATCAACGAATCTGACCACCCGATCCTGTTAGTCGCCCCTTACGACAAGCATAGTCGCCTCTTACGACAAGCATAGTCGTCGCCTCTTACGACAAGCATAGTCGCCCCTTACGACAAGCATAGTCGCCTCTTACGACAAGCATAGTCGCCTCTTACGGCATAGTCGTCGCCTCTTACGGCAAGCATAGTCGCCTCTTACGGCAAGCATGGGTTGCTGAAGACCAATTCTAATCCGTGTACTTATTTCCAATACATAAGATGTTTAATAAATAATGATCAATGTTCATCATATCTATCTGACTTACTTCCCACTTTCCTATAGTACATGAATTTTGTTGTTGAAAATACTACTTTCTTAGAAGGAACGTCTTTGCTGTTTTAAACCTCTTCGTTGTTCTGGTTTTCGGGCGGTCTATGGTGTCTTGGGAATGTTGAGGCGACCATCCGACGAGACAGTAATGCTTTGTTAACATCTGACATTTTATAATTAATCAAGAACACAATTATATAGAATACATTTTAATACTAAGTATCATACCCATGACGCTCGCTGGCATTTCCCGGACGCTCACGGACGTTCACGGACGTTTCCGGGCGCCACCGGGCGCCACCGGGCGCCACCGGGCGTTATTTGATGGGACAGTCCACCAGATAATTACCACTGACAATGATCAAAGCAATAAATTCCACGCACTGGGCAGACAGGTTCCCTGGTACACGCTCCACAAAGCGATCTTAGTGCTAAGTTGGTCGTAAGTTCCATACTTGTCCATAGGCTTACAATGAAAGTAGCTCTTGTGGACCGGGTCCCTGGTGACGGTTCAAGGCTGGCTGGTGTCTCCTGATGTCAATGGCTTCTTGTAGTTTTCTTTGTCGCCAGTTGTTCTTGTTGGTAGACAGGACTTTGGTGCTTCCCACATGATGTTTTGGTCTTGGTGCTTCAGGATGTGTTCGGAAATAGCGGATTCAGGGTCTAGTTTGTTGACAGAGGGTTTGAGGTTTCTATGGGTTTCTAGAGTGTATTGGTGGCCACAGTTGCAGGGGATCTGGTATATGCTTTTTCTAGTGGTTGAGACTTGCGCTGCGTGTGCCTCTGCCATTGGCTTGTAGATGGGTCTTGATGGACTTGCCGCTAGAGAAGGTGACATCTATGTTGGCTTATTTCTTGATGAGGCGGGAAATCTGATGGGTGACAGGGCCTTGGTAGGGGATGGTGATTCTCATGAGTGACAGGGCCTTGGTAGGGGGTGGTGATTCTGATGAGTGACAGGGCCTTGGTAGGGGATGGTGATTGGTAGGGGGTGGTGATTCTGATGAGTGACAGGGCCTTGGTAGGGGGTGGTGATTGGGAGGGGATGGTGAATCTGATGAGTGACAGGGCCTTGGTAGGGGATGGTGAATCTGATGAGTGACAGGGCCTTGGTAGGGGATGGTGATTCTGATGAGTGACAGGGCCTTGGTAGGGGATGGTGATTGGTAGGGGGTGGTGATTGGGAGGGGATGGTGAATCTGATGAGTGACAGGGCCTTGGTAGGGGATGGTGAATCTGATGAGTGACAGGGCCTTGGTAGGGGGTGGTGATTCTGATGAGTGACAGGGCCTTGGTAGGGGATGGTGATTCTGATGAGTGACAGGGCCTTGGTAGGGGATGGTGATTCTGATGAGTGACAGGGCCTTGGTAGGGGGTGGTGATTGGTAGGGGATGGTGAATCTGATGAGTGACAGGGCCTTGGTAGGGGATGGTGATTGGTAGGGGATGGTGATTCTGATGAGTGACAGGGCCTTGGTAGGGGATGGTGATTGGTAGGGGATGGTGATTCTGATGAGTGACAGGGCCTTGGTAGGGGATGGTGATTGGTAGGGGATGGTGATTCTGATGAGTGACAGGGCCTTGGTAGGGGGTGGTGATTCTGATGAGTGACAGGGCCTTGGTATGGGATGGTGATTGGTAGGGGATGGTGATTCTTATGAGTGACAGGGCCTTGGTAGGGGATGGTGATTCTGATGAGTGACAGGGCCTTGGTAGGGGGTGGTGATTCTGATGAGTGACAGGGCCTTGGTAGGGGATGGTGATTGGTAGGGGGTGGTGATTCTGATGAGTGACAGGGCCTTGGTAGGGGGTGGTGATTCTGATGAGTGACAGGGCCTTGGTAGGGGATGGTGATTGGTAGGGGATGGTGATTCTGATGAGTGACAGGGCCTTGGTAGGGGATGGTGATTCTGATGAGTGACAGGGCCTTGGTAGGGGGTGGTGATTCTGATGAGTGACAGGGCCTTGGTATGGGATGGTGATTGGTAGGGGATGGTATGCCTGTATTGTATATGTGTGTATGCCACGTGTTATACATGACTATATTGTATATGAATGTATACCACGTGTTATACATGCCTGTATTGTATATGTGTGTATACCACGTGTAATACATGACTATATTGTATATGTGTGTATGCCACGTGTTATGCATGACTATATTGTATATGTGTGTATACCACGTGTTATACATGCCTGTATTGTATATGTGTGTATACCACGTGCTATACATGACTATATTGTATATGTGTGTATACCACGTGTTATACATGACTATATTGTATATGTGTGTATACCACGTGCTATACATGACTATACTGTATATGTGTATATACCACGTGTTATACATGCCTGTATTGTATATGTGTGTATACCACGTGTTATACATGACTATACTGTATATGTGTATATAACACGTGTTATACATGACTATATTGTAGATGTGTGTATACCACGTGTTATACATGACTATACTGTATATGTGTATATAACGCGTGTTATACATGCCTGTATTGTATATGTGTATATACCACGTGTTATACATGACTATATTGTATATGTGTGTATACCACGTGTTATACATGACTATACTGTATATGTGTATATACCACGTGTTATACATGACTATATTGTATATGTGTGTATACCACGTGCTATACATGACTATAATGTATATGTGTATATAACACGTGTTATACGTGACTATATTGTAGATGTGTGTATACCACGTGTTATACATGACTATACTGTATATGTGTATATAACGCGTGTTATACATGCCTGTATTGTATATGTGTGAATACCACGTGTTATACATGACTATATTGTATGTGTGAATACCACGTGTTATACATATAGAATACTAAACGAGCTCCCGTGTAATACCAATTTTATGAAACTCGTGAATAGTTGTGGTATCTGACTCGCTTTCGCTCGTCAGATACCACAACTATTCACGAGTTTCATTAAATTGGTTTTACACGGGAGCGAGTTTAGTATTTTATTTATTACTTGCAATTTATAACGTTTTTTGAATTATACTGTTGAGTATGAATAGGCTGACACCTACATGATCCACGATATAGTCCAATTGAGTTTAACAGAATAATACTTCAAACACGTCAAAAGTTGAAACGTATGAATTTCATACCATACAACGGGTCTACCTTTAGAATTCACAACACTATCGTAGGGCTAAGACTTTCGCATCTCACATACTTTAACTTAGACCAACGACTGCCGTTGGGCTACAATACGATCGCCTTGTGGAACGGGCCTTGCACCTCAAAGTTTTCAATAACGTCACAATACCCGATGACGTAATTTGTGGAATTTTGTTGCAAGATCCATCGGCGAAACAATGCCATGTGACGTCAGCCTAGCAACAAGGTTGCTGGGGTCATCGAGTGTGCATAAGCTCCTCTCAGTGATCTATCAACTCTACACGCAATGTCGTTGAATAAGCCAAGGGATGTTGAGAGCTTTCAATATTTGTTCGTGAAACGTGTTCCGAGAGTACATAAGCACGCGTTTTGGTATTACACAATGTGTAATAAAGCTGTATGTTTATTAAACGGGTGATCTCTTCACGGGCAAGTAATAAATGCCTGTATTGTATATGTGTGAATATCACGTGTTATACATGACTATATTGTATATGTGAATACCACGTGCTATACATGACTATATTGTATATGTGTGAATACCACGTGTTATACATGACTATATTGTATATGTGTGAATACAACGTGTTATACATGACTATATTGTATATGTGTGTATACCACGTGCTATACATGACTATACTGTATATGTGTGTATGCCACGTGTTATACATGACTATACTGTATATGTGTATATACCACGTGCTATACATGACTATATTGTATGTGTGAATACCACGTGTTATACATGCCTGTATTGTATATGTGTGTATACCACGTGCTATACATGACTATATTGTAGATGTGTTAATACCACGTGTTATACATGACTATACTGTATATGTGTATATAACACGTGCTATACATGACTAAATTGTATATGTGTGTATACCACGTGCTATGCATGACTATATTGTATATGTGTATATACCACGTGTTATACATGACTATACTGTATATGTGTGTATACCACGTGCTATGCATGACTATATTGTAGATGTGTGAATACCACGTGTTATACATGCCTGTATTGTATATGTGTGTATGCCACGTGCTATGCATGACTATATTGTAGATGTGTGTATACCACGTGCTATACATGACTATATTGTATATGTGTGTATACCACGTGTTATACATGCCTGTATTGTATATGTGTGTATACCACGTGCTATACATGACTATATTGTAGATGTGTGAATACCACGTGTTATACATGACTATATTGTATATGTGTGTATGCCACGTGTTATACATGACTATATTGTATATGTGTGTATACCACGTGTTAGACATGACTATATTGTATATGTATGTATACCACGTGCTATGCATGACTATATTGTATATGTGTGTATACCACGTGCTATGCATGACTATATTGTATATGTGTGTATACCACGTGCTATACATGACTATACTGTATATGTGTGTATACCACGTGTTATACATGACTATAATGTATATGTGTATATACCACGTGCTATACATGACTATACTGTATATGTGTGTATACCACGTGTTATACATGACTATATTGTATATGTGTGTATACCACGTGTTATACATGACTATAATGTATATGTGTGTATACCACGTGCTATGCATGACTATATTGTATATGAATGTATACCACATGTTATACATGACTATAATGTATATTTGTGTATACCACGTGCTATGCATGACTATATTGTATATGAATGTATACCACGTGTTATACATGACTATAATGTATATGTGTGTATACCACGTGCTATACATGACTATATTGTATATGTGTGTATACCACGTGTTATACATGACTATAATGTATATGTGTGAATACCACGTGCTATACATGACTATATTGTATATGTGTATATACCACGTGCTATACATGACTATATTGTATATGTGTGTATACCACGTGTTATACATGACTATAATGTATATGTGTGTATACCACGTGCTATGCATGACTATATTGTATATGAATGTATACCACATGTTATACATGACTATAATGTATATTTGTGTATACCACGTGCTATGCATGACTATATTGTATATGAATGTATACCACGTGTTATACATGACTATAATGTATATGTGTGTATACCACGTGCTATGCATGACTATATTGTATATGAATGTATACCACGTGTTATACATGACTATAATGTATATGTGTGTATACCACGTGCTATGCATGACTATATTGTATATGTGTGTATACCACGTGTTATACATGACTATATTGTATATGTGTGTATACCACGTGTTATACATGACTATATTGTATATGTGTGTATACCACGTGCTATACATGACTATATTGTATATGTGTATATACCACGTGTTATGCATGACTATATTGTATATGTGTGTATACCACGTGTTATACATGACTATAATGTATATGTGTGAATACCACGTGCTATACATGACTATATTGTATATGTGTATATACCACGTGTTATACATGACTATATTGTATATGTGTGTATACCACGTGTTATACATGACTATAATGTATATGTGTGAATACCACGTGCTATACATGACTATATTGTATATGTGTATATACCACGTGCTATACATGACTATATTGTATATGTGTGTATACCACGTGTTATACATGACTATATTGTATATGAATGTATACCACGTGTTATACATGCCTGTATTGTATATGTGTGTATACCACGTGCTATACATGACTATAATGTATATGTGTGTATACCACGTGCTATACATGACTATACTGTATATGTGTATATACCACGTGTTATACATGACTATATTGTATATGTATGAATACCTCGTGTTATACATGACTATATTGTATATGTGTGTATGCCACGTGTTATACATGACTATATTGTATATGAATGTATACCACGTGTTATACATGCCTGTATTGTATATGTGTGTATGCCACGTGCTATACATGACTATAATGTATATGTGTGTATACCACGTGTTATACATGACTATAATGTATATGTGTGTATGCCACGTGTTATACATGACTATATTGTATATGTGTATATACCACGTGTTATACATGACTATATTGTATATGTGTGTATGCCACGTGCTATGCATGACTATATTGTAGATGTGTGAATACCTCGTGTTATACATGCCTGTATTGTATATGTGTGTATGCCACGTGCTATACATGACTATAATGTATATGTGTGTATACCACGTGTTATACATGACTATAATGTATATGTGTGTATGCCACGTGTTATACATGACTATATTGTATATGTGTGTATACCACGTGTTATACATGACTATAATGTATATGTGTGTATACCACGTGTTATACATGACTATACTGTATATGTGTATATACCACGTGCTATACATGACTATAATGTATATGTGTGTATACCACGTGTTATACATGACTATAATGTATATGTATGAATACCACGTGTTATACATGACTATACTGTATATGTGTGTATACCACGTGTTATACATGACTATAATGTATATGTGTGTATACCACGTGTTATACATGACTATATTGTATATGTGTGTATACCACGTGCTATGCATGACTATATTGTATATGTGTGTATGCCACGTGTTATACATGACTATATTGTATATGAATGTATACCACGTGTTATACATGCCTGTATTGTATATGTGTGTATGCCACGTGTTATACATGACTATATTGTATATGTATGTATACCACGTGTTATACATGACTATACTGTATATGTGTATATACCACGTGTTATACATGACTATATTGTATATGTGTGTATGCCACGTGCTATACATGACTATAATGTATATGTGTGTATACCACGTGTTATACATGACTATATTGTATATGTGTGTATGCCACGTGTTATACATGACTATACTGTATATGTGTATATACCACGTGTTATACATGACTATATTGTATATGTGTATATACCACGTGTTATACATGACTATATTGTATATGTGTATATACCACGTGTTATACATGACTATATTGTATATGTGTGTATACCACGTGTTATACATGACTATATTGTATATGTGTATATACCACGTGTTATACATGACTATATTGTATATGTGTATATACCACGTGTTATACATGACTATAATGTATATGTGTGTATACCACGTGCTATACATGACTATAATGTATATGTGTGTATGCCACGTGTTATACATGACTATATTGTATATGTGTATATACCACGTGTTATACATGACTATAATGTATATGTGTGTATACCACGTGCTATACATGACTATATTGTATATGTGTGTATACCACGTGTTATACATGACTCTATTGTATATGAATGTATACCACGTGTTATACATGACTATAATGTATATGTGTGTATACCACGTGCTATGCATGACTATATTGTATATGTGTGTATACCACGTGTTATACATGACTATATTGTATATGTATGAATACCTCGTGTTATACATGCCTGTATTGTATATGTGTGTATACCACGTGCTATACATGACTATATTGTATATGTGTGTATGCCACGTGTTATACATGACTATATTGTATATGTGTGTATGCCACGTGTTATACATGACTCTATTGTATATGAATGTATACCACGTGTTATACATGACTATATTGTATATGTGTGTATACCACGTGTTATACATGACTATAATGTATATGTGTGTATGCCACGTGTTATACATGACTCTATTGTATATATGTGTATGCCACGTGTTATGCATGACTATATTGTATATGTGTGTATACCACGTGCTATACATGACTATATTGTATGTGTGTATGCCACGTGTTATGCATGACTATATTGTATATGTGTGTATGCCACGTGTTATGCATGACTATTTTGTATATGAATGTATACCACGTGTTATACATGACTATAATGTATATGTGTGTATACCACGTGCTATGCATGACTATATTGTATATGTGTATGCCACGTGTTATGCATGACTATATTGTATATGTGTGTATACCATAGATTATACATGACCCTATTGTAGATGTGTGTATACCAAGTGTTTTACATGACTTTATGTATATATGTATATAACATAGATTATGCATGACTATATTGTGTATGAGTGCATACCACGTGCTATACATGGCTATATTGTATATGTGTGTATACCATGTGCTATACAAGACTTGATTCAGTTCGTTTATATGCCACAAAATGGAGACTCACCTATAATGCCTCCAAGAGTAAATCACTTGTATTCTGCAAAACACGCCAAGTAACCTACAAATTTGGCGATGCAACAATTGACACCTCCGACCCCGTCAAATATGGCGGAATAATCATAAACAATAATTTATCCTGTAAAGAAAGAATCATGACATGTTGCTCAAAGGCAAGAAAATATGTTAATTCACTACGATCACTCGGCCTCAACGATTCCAACCTCCACCCAGTTGCATGTGTCAATATATGGAAAAGAATGATTTTATCTACAAGCTTTTATGGATGTGAATTGTTACCAGCCTTATACGGTAAAGAACTTGAAATGGCTGAATGTACACAACGTTACTTTGCTCGTCATATACACGGGTTTGGTAAAAGACATCCAACAGATTCGGCTATTTCTAACTTGGGAATGTGGTCAATGAATGGCTACATTGATAAATGTAGACTACGATTATAAGGAAGGCTCTGCAATAACGATTGTAACTCAATAACAAAAGATCTGTGCTCACGTTGCTACCAACGGTATTGTCAATATTAGCCGTCCAGTAAGCATATGCAACATCCTTCTATATACTGCTATAAAATACCATTTAGATAACTATATAAAGGGATATACTGATAGCGGTTCGTTCCCAACTAAATCGGTTTGGCGAGCTCTTGTAATCAGACGTCTATCAGAGAATGAACAGTTCATCTGGAGAGAGAGACTAGCACAGAGAACAGATCTGTCACGATACCATAAAATTCATAAACGGTTACAAATGCATGTTCTTTATAATGTAATGTATCTCTATCCACATCTAAGACAACCCCTGTAACTTTGTATTAAAATCGGATCAAGAGCAAAAGTGTCGAAAGAATGTAACCATTGTAATAGACATTGCTAAGACTATGATTGCCATACTAGTTTACACTGTTAAATGTTTATGCCTGACAGAAATAATTTCTTCTCATGCCTGATTGATAAACTTGATGTAGATGTATACGTGAAAATAGATATGCTTGACGATGATGATATGCTTTCATTCTTTCTCGGTGCAGATGTCCCTGACTTGACTGACACACTTGATTGCGATACCTGGCAAAGCATCATAATGTCTCTCTGCCACTTCTTGTGGACCTTACTGCTCTCAAATTGTACATTGTAAATGTCTTTATTCATAGCACTGTATAACATGATTTCATTGTATATAGTCAAGTAATTTCATTAATGGATTATAAATAATGTATTTGCCCATGTAAAATCTTCGGATTCAACTCTGGAGGAAATATACAAATTCATGCATTCATTCTTGACACTATTGTATATGCAGCGGTAGAAATTGGCACTATTCCTGTTGCCCTTGCCAAACAGTCCAATAGTTAGGGTACGAGGGCTGGCTGAAATGTTTTAAGCCTAGCTGTGAAAGACCCGTACCAAGTCGATGGTTTTCATTTATTTCTCCACATAGTCCCCTTCCAGGTTTACACACTTTTGCCAGCGATGCTGCAAGGCCTGGATGCCGGTCAAGGAGAAATTTTCTTCAGCCGCCCTAAAGAAGTCATTCACAGCTGAAATGGCGTCATCATTACCAGGAAAATGGCGACCGGCTAGTTCCTTTTTCATTTTGGGAAACAGGTGGAAGTCTGACGGGGCCAAATCGGGTGAATTAGGGGGATGGTCAATGAGTTCGAAGCCACAATCATGGATCGCTGACATGGCAACCACCGATTTGTGAACAGGGGCATTGTCTAGGTAGAAGGGACTCCTTTAGTGAGTATTCCCTGTCGCTTAGCTTGGATAGCTTCACGCAACTGTCTCAGTAGGTCAGCATAATATCTTCCATTGATAGTCTGGCCTTTTTCAAGATAGTCAATCAGCAGAATACCCTTGGAACCCTAAAAGATTGAAGCCGTCAGAAGGAACCGACTTGGCTTTTTTTTTTTTGGGGGGGGGGGGGGGGGGGGGGGGAGGGGGGGCTGGTGATTCCGGATGCTTCCATTGTTTCGACTGATCGGGATCTGCTTCAAAACGGCATATATTGTCACCGCACGTCAGGAATCTGACACGTTTCTGATCCGCTGTCAAGAGCTTTGGCACCCATCTTGCAGAAACTTTTGTCATTCCCAACTTGTTGGTGATAATGTGCTCAACCCTCTCATGAGAGATGCCCACAACACTGGCAATATGTCGAGTGGTCAATCGTCGATCAGCCATCACCATGTCATGCACCCGGGTAATGTTTTCCGGAATGGTTGCTTTTGAAGGCCTTCCTGGAAGCGGGTCATCGTCAAGGCTCTCTCTGCCAGGCTTGAATTCCGCAGCCCACTTCTTTACAGTGGAAATGGAAGGGGCATCATCCCCTTAAGTGGAGACCATGTCAGCATGTATCTGTGTTGGAGTTAGCCCTTTCAGTTGCAGGTACTTGATGACTGCCCTATAGCCAGTTTTGTCCATTTCTGGTAATTTCAATTGGTAGGTTCACAAGATGGTCTGGTACAAAGACAATAATAACACTACAGTTGCAGTTCTAAGATTCATTAAATGATTGTACTTGTTGGTGGCAAAAGTTTGATTCAATCCGATTGAGATATCCCACTTAGGCTTAGAACTTTTCAGCCAGCCCTCGTATCATCAAGAATGCTATACCAGTATATGATGGTATAAGTGTGTATGACATAACCTATAGATGGCTATACCAGTATATGATGGTATAAGTGTGTATGACATAACCTATAAATGACTATACATGTATATGATGGTATAAGTGTGTATGACATAACCTTTAGATGACTATACATGTATATGATGGTATAAGTGTGTATGACATAACCTATAGATGGCTATACCAGTATATGATGGTATAAGTGTGTATGACATAACCTTTAGATGACTACACATATATGATGGTATAAGTGCGTATGACATAACTTAAAGATGACTATACATGTATATGATGGTATAAGTGTGTGATTGACATAATCTATAGATGACTATACATGTATATGATGGAATAAGTGTGTATAACATAACCTATAGATGACTATACATGTATATGATGGAATAAGTGTGTATAACATAACCTATAGATGACTATACATGTATATGGTGGTATAAGTGTGTGATCGACATAACCTATAGATGACTATACATGTATATGATGGTATAAGTGTGTTTGACATAACCTATAGATGACTTTACATGTATATGATGGAATAAGTGTGTATAACATAACCTATAGATGACTATACATGTATATGATGGAATAAGTGTGTATAACATAACCTATAGATGACTATACATGTATATGGTGGTATAAGTGTGTGATTGACATAACCTATAGATGACTATACATGTATATGATGGTATAAGTGTGTTTGACATAACCTATAGATGACTTTACATGTATATGATGGAATAAGTGTGTATAACATAACCTATAGATGACTATACATGTATATGATGGAATAAGTGTGTATAACATAACCTATAGATGACTATACATGTATATGGTGGTATAAGTGTGTGATTGACATAACCTATAGATGACTATACATGTACATGATGGTATAAGTGTGTTTGACATAACCTATAGATGACTTTACATGTATATGATGGAATAAGTGTGTATAACATAACCTATAGATGACTATACATGTATATGATGGAATAAGTGTGTATAACATAACTTCTAGATGACTATACATGTATATGATGGTATATGTTTGTATGACATAACCTATAGATGACTATACATGTATATGATGGTATAAGTGTGTATGACATAACTTATAGATGACTATACATGTATAGGTGTGTATAGGCTGTATACTGGAAGGTTCAATGTTCACTTGGACATATCTATGCTGGGAAATATAATGTCATTGTGATTGCTGTGATTACATTGAGCAATACTTATGTCATGTACATGTAATACTCATATTCCATAATGCTTGACTTATGTACTACTTCTTTTGTGTAATGCTTAAAGTGTGTTATACTTCTGTTATGTAATATTGATATTATTTAATACTTTATCATTTGTCTATTGTTCTTCACCATCTCGCCGCAAGCAGTTGTTCGTGTCACGCACACATGTCCTCGACTATAATTGTATCACGTGTCATGTCCCCTCCATCCATGTTTATTTGTGATAATTCCAAAGTAGGGAAAGAAGAGTAGAACTGTTCAGTGCAACAGCGCCGTATCGGGGGACGTGAAGTAGGGTTTGGTTTTAGAATGACATTGGTCAGTGCAACAGCGCCGTATCGGGGGACGTGAAGTAGGGTTTGGTTTTAGAATGACATTGGTCAGTGCAACAGCGCCGTATCGGGGGACGTGAAGTAGGGTTTGGTTTTAGAATGACATTGGTCAGTGCAACAGCGCCGTATCGGGGGACGTGAAGTAGGGTTTGGTTTTAGAATGACATTGGTCAGTGCAACAGCGCCGTATCGGGGGACGTGAAGTAGGGTTTGGTTTTAGAATGACATTGGTCAGTGCAACAGCGCCGTATCGGGGGACGTGAAGTAGGGTTTGGTTTTAGAATGACATTGGTCAGTGCAACAGCGCCGTATCGGGGGACGTGAAGTAGGGTTTGGTTTTAGAATGACATTGGTCAGTGCAACAGCGCCGTATCGGGGGACGTGAAGTAGGGTTTGGTTTTAGAATGACATTGGTCAGTGCAACAGCGCCGTATCGGGGGACGTGAAGTAGGGTTTGGTTTTAGAATGACATTGGTCAGTGCAACAGCGCCGTATCGGGGGACGTGAAGTAGGGTTTGGTTTTAGAATGACATTGGTCAGTGAAACAGCGCCGTATCGGGGGACGTGAAGTAGGGTTTGGTTTTAGAATGACATTGGTCAGTACAACAGCGCCGTATCGGGGGACGTGAAGTAGGGTTTGGTTTTAGAATGACATTGGTCAGTGCAACAGCGCCGTATCGGGGGACGTGAAGTAGGGTTTGGTTTTAGAATGACATTGGTCAGTACAACAGCGCCGTATCGGGGGACGTGAAGTAGGGTTTGGTTTTAGAATGACATTGGTCAGTGCAACAGCGCCGTATCGGGGGACGTGAAGTAGGGTTTGGTTTTAGAATGACATTGGTCAGTGCAACAGCGCCGTATCGGGGGACGTGAAGTAGGGTTTGGTTTTAGAATGACATTTGTCAGTGCAACAGCGCCGTATCGGGGGACGTGAAGTAGGGTTTGGTTTTAGAATGACATTGGTCAGTGCAACAGCGCCGTATCGGGGGACGTGAAGTAGGGTTTGGTTTTAGAATGACATTGGTCAGTGCAACAGCGCCGTATCGGGGGACGTGAAGTAGGGTTTGGTTTTAGAATGACATTGGTCAGTGCAACAGCGCCGTATCGGGGGACGTGAAGTAGGGTTTGGTTTTAGAATGACATTGGTCAGTGCAACAGCGCCGTATCGGGGGACGTGAAGTAGGGTTTGGTTTTAGAATGACATTGGTCAGTGCAACAGCGCCGTATCGGGGGACGTGAAGTAGGGTTTGGTTTTAGAATGACATTGGTCAGTGCAACAGCGCCGTATCGGGGGACGTGAAGTAGGGTTTGGTTTTAGAATCACATTGGTCAGTGCAACAGCGCCGTATCGGGGGACGTGAAGTAGGGTTTGGTTTTAGAATGACATTGGTCAGTACAACAGCGCCGTATCGGGGGACGTGAAGTAGGGTTTGGTTTTAGAATGACATTGGTCAGTGCAACAGCGCCGTATCGGGGGACGTGAAGTAGGGTTTGGTTTTAGAATGACATTTGTCAGTGCAACAGCGCCGTATCGGGGGACGTGAAGTAGTGTTTGCTTTTAGAATGACATTGGTCAGTGCAACAGCGCCGTATCGGGGGACGTGAAGTAGGGTTTGGTTTTAGAATGACATTGGTCAGTGAAACAGCGCCGTATCGGGGGACGTGAAGTAGGGTTTGGTTTTAGAATGACATTGGTCAGTGCAACAGCGCCGTATCGGGGGACGTGAAGTAGGGTTTGGTTTTAGAATGACATTGGTCAGTGCAACAGCGCCGTATCGGGGGACGTGAAGTAGGGTTTGGTTTTAGAATGACATTGGTCAGTGCAACAGCGCCGTACCGGGGGACGTGAAGTAGGGTTTGGTTTTAGAATGACATTGGTCAGTGCAACAGCGCCGTACCGGGGGACGTGAAGTAGGGTTTGGTTTTAGAATGACATTGGTCAGTGCAACAGCGCCGTATCGGGGGACGTGAAGTAGGGTTTGGTTTTAGAATGACATTGGTCAGTGCAACAGCGCCGTATCGGGGGACGTGAAGTAGGGTTTGGTTTTAGAATGACATTGGTCAGTGAAACAGCGCCGTATCGGGGGACGTGAAGTAGGGTTTGGTTTTAGAATGACATTGGTCAGTGCAACAGCGCCGTATCGGGGGACGTGAAGTAGGGTTTGGTTTTAGAATGACATTGGTCAGTGCAACAGCGATGTCTGGAGATCCGACCATTGGACTACCCAAGGTACAGACTTCTACAAACACAAATACGACCCTATAGAAATTAATCCTTAAATTTGCAGCTGACAGAATGAATCGTAGTTTAGTATCAGATATGTCGAACTCCAGCTGTAACTCTTAAGGCGGACTCACACGGGT